CCGAGGGCCCGGCCCCATCCGGACTCCGCGCCCCGCGCGCGCTGCCCTGCGCTCAGGGTCCCCTGGGACCCCCCGGTCGGGCTCCGAGGGGACGCACAGCCCCGCGCCCCCGCCGGCCCATCCCCCAGGGCAGTTGCCGGGAGCGTCCAAGTTTGCGGCCGGCGCGGGCGGGGGAGGGGCTGGAGTCGTTGCGCCGGCCTTGGCAGTGGCGTTTTGAAGCCATTTTGGGGAATCCCGCGACAGTGTCAGGGGAGTGTCCCCCGCGGCCTCCCTCGGGGTGCTCAACTTTGAGGCTGGGTGGCCGGGCTCCCCACGGAGCAGGCCCGGACGGTTAGATGTGCTCGGCTTCCTCCACGCTTCCCCTGCCGCCCTGACCCCACTTTGGAAACACCCTCCTGTGTTTTCCTTCCGGCTCCAGAGCCGAGGCGTGTGGGGGCGGCTCAGCTCCCCGACTTTGAACACCGTTTCCGGGCTGAGGGGGGGGTCTCTCTGCCTCTCCTTCCACTCCTTCCTCTCCTCCGAGGCCAGAAGGGGCACCCTTGAGGAGGACCCCCGGGTACAGGTGCGCCCACCCCCCCAGGAGGCATGGACCAGGCAAAGCCCCGCAGGCCCAAACTGGGGGCTGGGGAGAGGGGGTTAGGGTCTTAGCAGCTGCCCTTCATCCTGTGGACAACTTTCCTGGGAGCTGCTACGTGCAAGCTTGGGGTCAGGTGGGCTCCCACGGAGACCCCAGGCTGACACAGCAGGGGTGGGGGGGGGGTGGCTCAAGCCATTGGTCTTAAATGCCACCCTCTGAGAGGGTTCCAGTAGGCTGGAGAGAGGACAGGACCCAGTCCAGGAGTCTCAGCCAGCCCCACCCGACCAGCCCAGGCCCAGGTGAGGTGGTAAGAGCCAGCCTGACTGTGGTCCCCCAGAGAGCCTCTCCTTGGTGCCCACATTAACCATCACTTCCCAGCACTCCTAACTCCACAGGGCTTGACAGGAGGAAGGGGGTCATGGGCCAGCCGGGAATCTACCCATCTTTCCTCCCACCCCCATGTACCATCCAGGGAACAAACGTGGCTTAGCCTGTTTGGGGGCCGAGGCCCAGAAGTAACAAGCCATGGACAGCCTTGGCTTAGTTGGTCAGGTGAGGCCGTGACCACGGCCAGCTTTCAGGGGACATTGGGTCACATGACCTTCCAGCCAGAGCAGAGGCGTCGGGGGAAGTTGGGAGGGTGTTGGAGTTTGGAAACAACAGGCACCTGGGGTTCCGACCCACACTGGACCTGACTGAGTTCACCATAAAGTGAGAGTTCTACCACCACCCTGCAGGATTGTCGGGAAGACAGCAGGGGCTACTGTGAACAAGTGCCTCACCTGTCAGGTGTGGAGACAGCAGGTCACAGACCTTCGGCGACCAGGCTGGTTGATGGTGGGGCCAGGGAGAGGGGGATCTACCCACAGTGCTTTGGGATCGAAGGTCGGGGACACTGGCCAGTGGGCTCAAGGCTTCCTGAGATTAGAGCCCTTTGAGCTGGGGCTTGGTGGATGGATAGAAGTTGCCAATAGGACAGTAGCCAAGGACAGAAGAGAGGCCAGGTGTGTTCAGGAGACAGGTGAGGGCCAGGTAGTCATGTTGGGAGGGAGTGGCCTCCTGGCACATCCTCAGTCCTCTAGCCTGTCCCACAGGGGAGCCAGCTTGGCCCTGACTCCTCCCCTTCTGTGGCAGGGCTGGTACCAGGTAGACTCTGAAGGCCTGGGTGCACACAGCGGGTGCCTGGGCTCTGGTCTGTCCTGTGCCCCTGCGCCCTGGCCCCCAGCCTCATCTGCTGGAAGCTCTGTGATGTTCACGTGTGTAGGCATGGCCAGCCTTGTCCCCTGGCAGAGCCAACGCCTTACCCTCTCCTATTCATCTCCTCTTCTCTGCCTCCAGCCTCTAGCCTACTCCTGCTTGCTCTTCACGGGCGCTGTACCCCTCTCAGATCATTCTCAGGGGCCCGGGTCCCCCAGACGTCTCTTGGCCAGGCTGCTGAGATGTACGAGGTGGGAGCAGGCTGCCCAGCCCGTCCCCTCCTGGGGTGGGCATATCCACAGGGCATATCCACACTGCCTTTTGTGTTCCCTGTGAGAGAGGCCAGAAGAGCTCTGCTGGCCCCGACCCCACCCTCCACCTCCTCCTGCCTTTGGCTGTCACCCAGTGTCCCTTCTGCCTTGGTGCCTGCCACCGTCACTTCACTGCGTGGGACTTTGGGCAGGTTCCCTCCACTACTGAGGCCTTGCTACCCACCACACCCGCTCAAGTTGCATGGGGAAAGGGGTTCCTCAACCTGCCTTCTTGGCCCAGAAGGTTCCCGGGAAACCCAGTGTAACTTCGGCCGCAGGGCCACCCCTCTTCACCAAGCTCTTCTTTCAAAGCTGTGAATCATGATACACGTACAGGAAAGTTACTATCTGGACAGTTGGCCGAGTGATTTCAGAAGGAACACCTGGGACCACAACTCAAATCAAGAAGTTTAATGCTACCAGGCCCCATATGTGTGCCCCCCAAACACCCTTCACCCTCCACCCTGGTCTCAGCTTCCTCCTGCTCCTCAAAAGTCCCCAGAATTGTTAACTGGTAGCAGCAGCCCCAGGTCCCTGTGTCCTCTGTAGCCTGGCCTCCTGTGAGAGTATCCCTACCTCTGTGTTCTCAGTCTAGCACTTCTGTTACCTTCAGCCTGCACTCTGCTGGCCACTGCGGTCCACAGGTGGACAGTGTGGGACAGTCGACCATGGTGCTGGTGGAGCTGTCAATGCCAGGCGTCTTGTAGCTGGTTGAGGCCTGACTGGCCACGATGTGCTTATCCAATAATGGACATGTGGGCAGGGTGAGGAATGGGATTGAGACCTCTTGGTAAGTTCTGGGGACTCCTTGGCCAGGGCTTTGGGGGTGTGCCCACCTCTCGAGTGCCCTGCCCACCAGGGGTGCGAGGAGTTCTCATGGCTTCAGGGTTGTCAGCAACACTTGGCATCATCACGTGGTGGGCGTGGCATGGTGTCTGGAGGGCCATGCTGTTTGCAGTTGTCTGGGTCACCGACCGTTTGAAGCTTCTTTTTCTGGAGTCTGTGGGCATTTTCCTATTAGGTTATCTGTCTTTTTCCTATTGATTTGTTGTTAGTTAGTTGCTGTCAGATCTGTCCTCATGACATCTCCATTTACAGCAGAGCAGAATGTTGCTGGGGCCCAAGCCGCACCTCTGGGGCCCTTGGTATGTGCAAGTCCATTGTCAAGATTGCTGTGAATCCTAAGTGCCTTCCAAGCCCGGAATAAGGACCCCTGCTGGTGTAATCCACAACATCCAGGCAGCTAACTGAAAGGTTGATGATTCTAGTCGGCTAGCCACTCCAAGAGAGAAAGATGAGCATTGATTACATTAATCAATGGTAATTAACATTATAAACGAAAATGTGTATGAATTTTAAAAGCTATTTACAACCTCCACAACCCCACCAGAAACAGCTGTGAATCAGAATCAACTGGACTGCCATGAGTAATCTTTCTGGGGGAATCCTGACCTAGGAGCTCTGGTGGCCTAGTGGTAAGGAGTTGTACTGCCAACACAAAGGCACAAGGTTCAAATCCACCAGCTGCTCTGTGGAAGAAAGATGGGCAGTCTCCTCCCATCCAGTCCACAGCCTCTGACAAGCCACTGGGGGGTCAACTGTGCGTCTGGCTCGATAACAACAACAAAACTATCCTGGAGGCCCAGCTTCCAGGGCTGTACCAGACACCACGCTGCTGGGATGCAGAGTTTTCATGGCAGGTTTTCAGAACTAGATCTCACCAGGCCTTTCTTCCTAGTCTTAAGATAGAAGTGCAGCTGAGATCTGTCCCCTACCGCAGCCCTGCTGGTGCTGGAGATGCCGATGGCATAGCGCTCAGCACCACGTGAGCTGCCACCCCAGGACACACTGGCAGCCTGATGACTCCGGGGGTCCCGTGGTAGTGTAGATGCCAGCTCCCTGGGAGGGATGTGTACGGCAAGGATGCCTCCCGCTGGCCACTCGCTGGCCACTGATGTCCACTGTGATCATTGAGCAAGAAGTTGTACATTTTTATTTTGTTGAATGTTTTGATTTAAGCTTTTGTTGCAAATCCTTCTGATAGCATGAAGCTAGGGGCTTCCCGTCTTCTTGAGGTGAATGTTGGGTGTGTGGTTTGCGGTTTGGCACAGGCTCTCCACGAGGTTTGAGGTGTCAGACCCATGCTCTGGGGTGCTCTAGTATGCAGATGGTAGCCTGTACCCGCCCTGTTCTCAGTGCCTGAGCTGCCAGGGTCGGGGGCGGTGTGGGGGGGGGCTGACCGCTTCAGTGGTCACCAGGCAGACTCACAACTAACTTCATCTCTCACTCCTTCCCATGCCGGCTCCTTTCCAGCAGCCAGCCCTCCCCTTTGTCCAGACATCCTCCTGCCTCAGGGCCTCTGCACGCGCTGTTCCCTCTACCTTGAATGCTGTTCCCACATGCCCCCAAATTCATAGCCTCCTTTCCTTGTGCCTGATTCTTGAATGCCACCTTCCTGTCCAGAGCCCCAAGCCCCTCTGCTGTCCAGTTCGTCCTGCGCGGGGAGTCCAGAGCTCCAGGAGAAGCAGCTGGTGGGTGTGAACTACTGGCTTTGTGGTTAGAGTTTATCTCAGCCTGCAGCACCCCCCATGCTCCCGCCTCCATTAGAACTGCAGCCTACTTTTCCCCACCCCCAGCCCCCCGCCGCACCTCTGCTTTGATTGTCCCCACAACCTGCTCCCCCCGAATGGCAGCTTGTGTGACTTTCTGATCTTGCTCGTGGTCTGTCTCCTGCCAACAGCAGCCCACGGCTGATTCCCTTGCCCAGGCCCAGCACATAGTAGGTGCTCAATAAATGCTTTTGGAATATGAGCGTGAACTGTGTTCAGCAATAGGGAAGGAGGGAGATGCCTGTGAAGGGGCCCTTTATTCTTTTTCCAGGAACAGGAGTGTTGGGGAGCATGCGTACCCCTCAGCCTTGCCTTCAGCCCCTCGAGACCGGGATATGTTGCTGTTTACGTGAGCTGGAGGCACTCAGGATGGAGGGTCCGGGCTCAGTGGGAGTAGGGCCCTTCCTGACAGTGGTGCCGGGCTGAGCCAAGTAACATGAGCGGAGAGAGTTCCCGGCAGGAAACCAGCCTTAGCAGTTATCCACTGACCAGCAGTGGACTCTGTCAACCAGCCTGGGCGGTGTCCTGTGGCAGGTGCCAGCCTGGGCGGTATCTTGGTGACAGGGACCAGCCTGGCCAGTGCTCTAGTTTCTGGGACCAGCGTAGGCAGTGATTAGGTGACAGGGGCCAGCCTTGCAGTGGTCTGGTAGCAGAGGACCAGCCTGGGCAGTGTCCTGTGAAGGGTCCAGCCTGAGCAGTGGTCTGGTCCAGAGGAGGTGGCATGGGGCACTGTGGAAGACAGGTTGTCCCTCACGCTCTGGTCGAGTTCCTGGTGCTCTTGCCCTGACAGCCTGTCAGCACCGGGGTGCACTGCAGGGGCCTGGGGCTGAGTCCAAGAATGGATAGGGACCCCCGAGCAGCACCAGCCGTCAGAAGAGTCCTCTCAGGCTGGGCCAGCAGTTGCTACCACTGGTTTACGAACTAGCTCTCACTAAGGTGTGAATGACTGGCCTTGCCTTGTTTGATTGCTAACCTGTAGGTAAGAGCTGTTATGAGGCCCACTTTCTAGATGGGAACATTGAGAACCAGAGAGGCCCAGAGTCATGCCCACGGCCACACGGCGGTGAGTGGGACACCTGGGCTTCTGGCCCCAGTGAGCCCCTTCCTCTCCGTGCGCTCTGCAGCCAGGCTCCCAGGAGTGATGCCCGTGAAGCGGGTGTCCGCTGGTGCTGGCACCTGCCCAGCTCAGCACAGGCCGGCCTTGCCCCACCCAGGTCATTTCCCTGTCCGTCACTCAGGTCGATGGAGTGGACCAGCCCCAAGCTGAGCCAGGCCTGTTCTCTGTGCTCTTCTCAGGAGGGGCATCCTCAGGGCCACGTCAGAGCTGGTCACCCCACACCCATTACCCCCCAGGAGAGCTCTGCGTGCCCCATGTTGGGAGGTGCCAGGCAACACGGGGTCTTCCTGGAGGTCACGTCACCCTTACAGACAGGCCAAGGCTGACTTTAGGTGTCAAGGGGGGCGGGGTTTGACACTTCTGGGCATCTCCTCTCGAGCATGCTATGCCCAGCCCTTTCTGGAATGTTCTCAGCGAATCTTCATCCCTTGTTTGAGCTGGGCTCCATTTGCCCATTCCCCAGATGGGCCTTTTCAGACTCTAGAACCAGTACTCAGTGGCGTGTAGGGGTAGGGTGGGGGGTGGTGGAGGGTGGGCTCAGGAGTCTGGTTCTGGATGGATGGAGGCAGCACAGACTTGGGGACTCAAGGAACCCCACAGCTGTGGGGTCGGCCCAGCTCCTAGGTTCCCCAGAGGGCAGAGGAGAACCCCTTCTGGCTGTCATTTGTAGGGTCATTCCCCCCTCCTACGTGCCCCCAGGGCAGAACACAACTATTTCTGGCTGTAATTTTTATTTATTAGAGCCATTGGTCTCATGTTTCTTCCTCAGAGCAGCTGGTGGATTCAAACTGCTGACCTCTTAGCTAGCCGCTGAGCTCTGAACCTTTCCTCTCCTGTCCAGGACGCCCTTCTGACGTGGCCCAGTCTGTGTCTTCTGCACAGGTGACCAGGGCTCAGTCCCTGCCCTATCCTTGCTCTTCCACCGCCGGCACAGACACCACCCTTTCTCAGGCCCTGGACCTCCTTGGCCGCCTGTCTTCTGCCCTGGACTGCTGGGTGAAGCCAGGGTTACCTAGAGAAAGCTGCGCATCTGAGGAGAACTGACTTATCAAGGGTAGACAGGATGCTTCTCTGGGCCTCAGAAATTCACGGCTAGCTGTACCTCCCACACCTGGCTGGCCCGGCCTCTGACTCAGTTAGCCTGGGTCAGGATGTCCCCATGGGCAGCAGCCCGGGGTCGGACTCTACCTTCTCACGTCTTCTGGACTCTCTGCCCACCTTTGTCTCTATTCCTGTAACTCCCAAGGGCCTTTCCCATCCTCTGCCCCCAGATGCCTCACTCACATGACTGATTCAGGGGGTTCAGCTTAGCTTTGCATTAGCATTCCAACACATATTCAGGGGTTACAGTTCAGTCCATAACAGGAGGGCTGTGGAAGGGCCAGTCCTTGGACAGAGGTATCTTACTGGGAGAGGTGACGAGTCAAGAGAAAGAAGGCCCTCACCAAAGTGGACCGACACAGTGACTGCAGCAGTGAGCTTGAGTGTATCACGTGGGAGGGTCGTGCAGGACAGGGCCGGGCTCCGACGGGCTCAAGTGTATCAGATGGGACAGTGAGACAGGGCCGGGCTCCGACGGGCTCAAGTGTATCACATGGGACAGTGGGATAGGACAGGGCTGGGCTCCGAGCCGTTGCTCTTAGGACCACGGTGACTTGCAGTTGGCTCAGCGACACCTCACTGCGTGGTGGAGGGGTTTGGGGTGGGGAGCAGTCAGGACTTGAGCTGTGAGCTGCAGGCCGATGCTGTCACTGCACAGGGACAGTCAGCAGTGAGTCTGTCTGGAGGTCAAGACAGGCATGTAACTGTGGGGTCCTTTCACCAAGAGGTGGACCCTCTTTATGTACAGTCCGAGGCTGGCTGGGGTCCCTGTGGATGTGGAGAGGCTGGAGACCTGAGCCTAGGACACCCAGGTGTTGGGGAGTCAAGGAGATGAGTGCACCCTGTACAGAAGGCGGAGAAGAGCAGTCGAGGAGGAGAGGGGAGTCGGAGAAAAGGAGGAGAGGGGAGTCAGAGAAGAGCAGTCCAGGAGGAGAGGGGCGTCGAGGGGTCCCGGGAGGCCAGTGTGGATGGTGCTCCAGGAGAAGGAGGGGTTGGCCAAGTTGCTGGCCGCTTGAGGACTCAGCTCCAGGGAGGACTTGAAGGGGCCGCTGCCTTTAGCCGGAGCAGGTTCAGAGCCATGGAGGAGACAAGACCCAGCCAGGGCTGTTGTGGACGCCGAGTTGGAACCAACTTCTAGCGGACCCTCCGGCAGCTTTTCAGAGGCACTTGCATTTTCAGAGGCACATGGGGGCATTGCCCACTCTCTGGTGGATTTGAACTGTGTGCCTTCAGGATGGCAGCCTGACTCCTTACTCTAGACCCCCAGAGCTCACTGGCCAGGGTAGCGCTCAGCATTGATCAGGCAGGATCAGGGGTGGACAGCTCCTCCAGGGGGACAGAGAACTAGGGCTCCAGGGGGCAGAGAACCAGCCTAGTGTGGTTTGTGTTTTCTCAATAGGGGAAAATAACCACATCCTTGTGTTCCCTGCAGAATGGCCCAGAAGCGAGGAGAACGTGGTTCCAAGGAGGGGGAGCCTTCCTGGAGCCACGTCTGAGAGGCGAGGGGGCAGGGAGCCCCCAGGTGTCTAGCGGTGGGAGCCACAGTGCCAGGTCTGGGGCAGGCGCTGGAGGCAGGGAGGTGTGGCACACGGGGAAGGCCTCTTCTGATGGCTTCATTCTTCTCAGCGGAAAAGGAAGCGAGGTCGAGGTCGTCAGCTGTGAGTGAGGCTGGAGGGGAGGTGTTGGAAGGTTGGGCAGGGAGGCGAAGGTGTGAAGTCGTTTTCCAAGAAAGAGAGGGCGGAGTGCAGAGCAGAAAATGTAGTAAGAGTCCTAGATCTGCGTGAGATCTGAGGGGGCACACAGGGACATCTAATGGTGGTGTCGGCCTTCCCTGTGAATACAGGCACCAGGGTAACCTTGACCCCTTTCGGCCAATAAGGACTGAGGCAAAGGGTAGGGCATGCAGAGTGATGCAGTGATTGGTGGCAGTGAAGACAAGGTGGACAAGGGTCTGTGAAATGCCGAGGAGGCAGTGGATAGAGGCTGGGGTGTCAGAAGTGGTCAGTCCTTAGAGCTGGCGGAGGGGACACGTCCACAGTGCGTCTGGACAGCAGGCTTGATCCCCCTCAGGTACCGTAGTCACCCAGCACTGGCCCCTCATCCAGGAGCACCTGCTGCCCCATGGGAACCCCACTCAGTCCTTCAGCAGTCGTTGGTGCCCTGGACCCCAGAAGCTGAGGCCCCCTCTGTCCTTTCTACTGGATAGAGAAGTGGACAGAGCCCCGAGTAGGAAGGCTGGTGGTCTGACTCATTACATGATATGACTAAGAACTTTCTCTAAGATCCTGTGAACAATAAGGCACAAATTACAGAGCAGGAGTGCACTGGGAGGTGGCCCCAGCCCCCTGTCCCCACCTGCCCTCTTTGGAGCCTTCCCAGGGCCTCCTTGCTTCCCTCTGTTCTTCTCAGGGCACAGCACCCCTCGATTCCAACTCAAACCACTACTGAAAGGTCTCCTGAGAGCTCAGAGCGGGGTCCTCTCCTGAGATTAGGGCCCCCTTAAGGCTAGTGAACTCTGCAGCCAGCCCAGGCTTGACCAAAGGAGCTGGAACCCCGAGAAGCAACAGCAGATACAGCCCCATGCCCCAGGCAAGCCCACTATGGTGTCAGGGGGCCATGGTGGTGGTGTAAAGTCTAGGGCTTCTGACCTAGTGAGAGGTCAGGGAGGACTTCCTGGAGGAAGCAGATAGAATGAACCAATGAGCAGGGAAGAAGAGGTTCTGAGCGGGAGGAGCAGGGTGTGCAGGGGCCCTGTCCATCTACGTGCCAGGGTCATTTGGCTGTGCCCTGGCCCTGGATACCCACCCCTCAGCCTGTCCACTCACTGAGGGCTCACAAGGACAGGGTGCACTGGGGCTCCAGGGACAGCAGAGGGGATATTGCAGCGCCTGATACGGTGGAATGAGAGGAAAGTGCCTCTCTCCAAACCTGTGTCCCAGTCCTGGCACAAGGGAACCCACCGTTTCCCCTTCCCTGGAGGCAGCAGCACGGCAGGGAGGGGCCAGGATGGGGCCAAACAGGGGCCGTTGGTCAGTGGTGGGGCCAGGAAAGAGTGGACCTCAGAGGAGTTCATTTGGGGCACCTCTGCATCCATCAGCACTGTCACTCGAGGCTCCCAGCCTCTGTAACCAAGCTCTGCACATCCACAGACCTAACCGGCTTACCTCTCAGAGCCATGCCCGAAATCCAGGTGTTGGTGGCTGGGTCCCTCTGGAGGCTCTGAGGAGAATCTGTCCCCCCTGCCTCTCCGGGCTCCCAGCGTCTGCCAGGCCCACTTCGTGTCATTGACTTGCACCAGTCCCACCTCTGCTCCGAGCCCCGGGCCCTGCTCCTTGTCACCCTCTGCTCCCCTGTGAGGGCCCCAGGCATTGGACTAGCACCCACTCTACTCTGATGCGGTCTCGTGACTGCTCACAACTGCAGAGGCTCCTTTCAGATAAGGCCACGTTTGATGCTTCCATATGGATGGGAACTGGAGGACGGCCGTCCTAGCTTGATGGGACGATGGTGACCCACTCCCTCAGCAAGCCGCCCTTCCCAGTGGGGGCCTCCCGGGTCAGCACACCACCACTCTCCTCCCCTCATATACACACATGTGCACAAGAACACAGACACACGTGCACAAACGTGGGCACGAATGTACAGGCACAGGTGAACACTCAGACGCATGTACGTCCATGTACAGGTGTGTTTTCACACGTGAACATGTATCAAGTTACACGTGTACACGCACAGACTTGTGGCCATCTGTACACGTGAACACATGCGTGCACACACATACACGTGTGCAGATGAACACGTGCGGCCCGTGTGTGGCCGTGTGCATCCCTGTGTGTGCTCCCGTCCACGTGTGCTCTCGTGACATACATGCGTGTGCTCACACACATGCGTGTTTCCTGCCTCTGGACGCCTGGTGGCCATGGCGGTGCCACAGACCGTCCAGTGTCAGCTGGTATGATTGCTGTAGAGTCGGGTGAGCTGTGGCCTAGGGCTCTAGGTGGGCAGGTCCCAGCTGCAGGGTGCAGGCCGAGTGCCTGCAACTGTTGTCCTCAGAGGGAGGAGCACAGGGACCCTCCAGGAAGCAACAGCAGTGCTGTCCAGCTGGCCCCGGGCCCTCAGCCCGGACTGTGCTGTCAGAGTCCATGGTACTCGTGGGACTCAGGCCACGGAGCCCAGGAGAATCCGAGCTGGGCCTCGGCGCCCCCAGCTCGCATCTGGTCCTTGCCCACCATGGCTGTCCCTTGACGCCCAAGCTGCTGCGCCTCTTGGGCCCTCAGTCTCTTCTACCAAACTGCCTTTGGCCTGCCCTCCATTCCTATGGCCTGGCCATGTTTGGCTGTCAGAGGCAACTAAACTTCACTCGTCGTCCTGTGTGTTCCACTCATGGCACCTCCACGTGTGTGACTCTGAAGTACCTCTGGAGAGATTCGAACCTCCAGCCTCTCAGTCAGCAGCTCTGTGTGTGATCATCCCAGCACCAGCCCGGCATGCTCCCCATTGCACCACCAGAGCACCAGCAGTCAGGAAATGAGAGATGAGTTGCTTTTGGAAAGCCCCGTCAGGGACCTCTCCAGTGCGCAGGAGCAGCGATGTCAGTCTGCAGACTAAGGTGCGCCTGACCCAGGCCGTGGTCTTCTCAGTCGCTTGCTGTGCATCTGAGAGTTGGGCAGTGACTAAGGATGACAGAAAAAGAATTGATGCCTTTGAGTTGTGGTGCTGGAGAAGAGTGTTGAACATCCCATGGTCCGTCAAGAAAACAAACAGGTCTGTTCTGGAGAGGGGGAACCAAGCTGTTCCTTGGAGCCATGGATTCTGAAGCTGTGTCTCAGATGCTTTGGCCACGTGGTCAGGAGGGACCAGTCCCTGGAGAAGGACATCATGCTTGAAAGGGTGGAGGGTCAGCACCGGAGAGGAAGCCCCTCAACAGGAAGATTGACAAGGTGATTGTGTTAATAAGGGCAGATGTGTCAGAGATGGTGAGATTGGCTCAGGTCCGGGCAAGATTCAGAGGCGTCGCTCGTAGGCTCACTAAGAGTTGTCTTTGACTCGACAGCACATAACAGCAACAAGTTGTGAAGGGAGGAGGCCGCAGGACAGGGCATCTTAAGGCCTGTCCACTCCCCTGAGCCCTCAGTTCCTGTCTGCCCCTCTCACCTCCAGTGGGAGTTTCAGAATAGAGCTTTTGCAGGGGCCCCAGCGCATAGTGACAGGCAGGCCAGAGGTGCAGGATGGGGTTTCTGCACACCCCTCTGGACTCACGTGGGTGCTCGAGAGTCAGTGTGGTCCGTGTGTTGCTGCATCCCCACGGAGACGTGTGGCCTCGGCTGGGGGTGAGTCCTGCTGCATCTGGGTCACTCTGGCGCGGGGCCCTTCTCCAGGGCTGCTGTGGACAAGGGAGTCACAGCTGGGGAGTCCCTGTCTCTGCAGGCGAGCCTCAGCACTGACTTGAGAGGGTCAGCAAAGCAGAGGAAGCCCCTCAACAAAGGTTGACACTGTGGCTGCAGAGGTGGGTCCCACAAGGCATTGTCTGTAAGGCTGCGAGGACTGGGCCGTATCTCCTGCTACTGGACTTGGGGTGCCTGCGAGTGGACAGGGCAGTGAGGATGCTGGTCTAAGGCAAGGGGTTGGAGGAGGAAGGCTGGCCACTGAGGACATTCAGGTGGGGGCCCAGAGGAGATGTAGCCCGAGGCAGGGTCTGGAAGCTGTCCCCATGAGGGGACAGAGATCTGTGGACAGTGCTTGGTCAACGAGTCCCTGGGTGGCCCGAGTGGCTGGAGGCAGCTCAGCTGCACTGCGGAGGTGAGACCTGGCAAAGGGCTTCTCAAAGGCTGCAGCTGAAAACCCCGCAGCGCGGTTCCCCTGCCATACGCACGCGGGATGCTGTCAGTCAGAACACGCTCAACTGCAGAGTTTGGAGTTTTGTTGATGATGTTGCAGCAGTTACTGTGACATGGGATCCCACCGGTCTTTGCCACAGTGCACACTTCTACCGGCTTTTGCCGGTATTTGCTGCGGGCCTGAGTCTTCTCCCAGGGCCACCTGCGCCCTTCTTAGCAAGCCCAGCGCCTTCCAGGAGGGCTCCACTTTCCAGTGTACCTGTGGCTGCTGGCAGAGTGAACCCTGTTCTTAACAGCTTCCTGCCTCTCTTCTGCCAGCCCATCAGTCCATGGTGCCCACTCAAGCTGCAGGCAGGACTAGGGGAGCAGGCCCAGGGGCGAGGGAAGTGGCCGCGTCTCTGGACCCCTGACGTCCATCAGACAAAGCCTGCAGGGACTGCACTTCCCAGGACAGCAGCTGATGGGGCAGGAGCCCCCTGCCCCTCCATCCTCTTCCTTTGGGGTCTCAGCCAGTGAGCCCACTTTAGGGACCCAGAGCGGGAAGTGGGGGAGCTGCCCCCCCCAGAGGAGAAGGATTCTGGCCTGCCTTGCCCAACCAGTTGTGGGCGGAAGAGGAGGGGACGGCCCAGGACCAGGGGCCTCTCTCCATGGTGGGACCACACGTGAGCTCAACCCCTGGACCTTCTGGGATCACAAGGTGTGGCCAGGGAGCGTGCCTCGAGCCCAGCCTCCAGCTCCGGCCACTCCCATCATGGAGGTGACAGGAGTTTGCCTGGAACAGCAGAGGAGAACTCCCACCTCTCTCACTCTCCCACCTGTGCACAGGTGTGCACAGGTGAGCCAGTGGGAGTCCCGTCCCCTGAGCGGTTCTGTCCTCTCCGCCCACAGGCTGCGAAGCCCCTGGGTGCCCTCCTGCCTCGGGCAGTCCCAAGTCCTGCAGGGCCGGCTGGCCAGGTCCTCACCCTCCATCTGGGACAGGTAACATACCTGTTGTCTCCTGGCTCCTTGATGTCTCTGCGTCCACCCCAGATGTCCATCCTCTGTCTGTGTCCAAGTCCCTGGGGACAGACTAGGAGACTGAGACCCAGAGCAGGGTGGCTGCCCCCACCACTATCCTCTGTCCCTCGGTTGAGGCATCCTGGAGGAAGAGGAGGAGGAGGAAGGCTCCTCAGGGAGGGGTGGCACTCACAGCTGGGGTGGAAGGAGTCAGAGTGCATGTGCAGACACACACACACACACACACACACACACACCCGTAAACTTAGGTTTCACGTCTGGTCTAGCTTACAAGGACAGAGCAGAAGCAGGTGACCTCACAAGACAGGATCTGAATGTGCCCTCAGCAGACCTTGGCCAGGTCCCAGCATCCCCAGCCCCCACACCCAGGGACAGATAGGGAGGCGGCCTCGGGAAGGGCTCCCATGACCTTGTCTGGGCAATTAGGGACCATTTCCCTGACTTCTCGGCACCTCTTCTGAGCAGTGTTTTACATCCCTGCCACCAGGGTCCCCCTTGCCTACACCCCGTTCACCCACAGCATGTGGCCACGAGCAGGGTATTCCCACATAGAGAGAACTGAGGCAGAGGCCAGGCAGGGCTTGAGATGCCGAGAAGAGCAGTGGTGCCCGCAGGTGACTGCAGACCGGGCTGCCTGGTCTCGGGCCTCCCTGGACAGAGCTGGGGAGGGACAGGACAGCCAGAGCATCTGAGCCCCGGAGCCCCCTGAACTGTGTGACTGGTGGTGAGGGGCCAAGTGGACTGACCACAGCCAGAGGGCTCTGTCCAGAGATGGGAGTGGTCCAGGGGAGTAATTGTATGTGGAGGCCACTCAGGGTCAGAAAAAGCATCTGGGGCCAGGGGGCACCTGGGGCTCAGATTGAGCTGTTCTGAGCTGAGGGAAGTCTCCCAGACATGGATCTGAGCCCCTCACTCACTCCTCCCAGCCCTGTCCACACAACACACCCACCCTGTGTCACCATCTGCCCCCCAGTGACCATAGGCTCTGTGAGGTCAGGGCTACTGTGGGCACCAGGCACAAAGTGGGTCAGGCTGAGGGAAGAGAGTGAACCAGCCAGAGTCACTTGGGGGTCCGAGACCCCAGGGCCCAGCTGAGCCGTTCAGGACTGGCCGAGGTTCTGGGCTGAGAGGCCGGCCTGTGACCAGCACCCAAGTCCCAGCAGGCCCAGTGGGTAGATGATGCAGGGTGAGTCACTCCATACACGGCCTCCTGGAGTACAACGTTCACACTGTGCTGTCTGCCTGTCTGTCTGTCTGTCCCCTGGCTGGTGGTTCCTCTGTTTGGTGTCCCTGATGCTGACCCAGTGATATGCCATGGGTGGACAAGTGACCAGTTTAGGGGCATGGGGCACTTTGCATCCTGCTTGCTGGGACCCTCCGGTACCTTGCCAGGTTCCTCCAGCGTCCAGGCTGCCTGTCCTTCTGTCTGTGAGGTCACAGACCCTGTGTGACCAGCCAGCTCACGGTGTGGACTTCCTACTGCTGGGGGACAAGGTTATGATTGTAGCGTGGAGCCTCTGGCAGCAGGGAAGGCTGCCTGGAGGAGGCGGGATGCAGCCTGGGCACAGCTGCAGGCGGGCAGGCAGATTCGGCCTTGGGACGTCCGCTTTCAGGCTTTCCGCTCCCATCTGCCTCCTCTTTGGGACCTGACTTCTGGGAGCACCCTTTGCCCTTCTCTGACGTTCTCAAAAAGCAAGCAGCTCTTTTTATTTTTATTTACTTTTTTAAAAACCCAGCATCCTAGGCAGGAATCCAAGAATGCGTACTCAGAATTTGCTGGATGCGTGCCGTAGCAACCATGCGGCTTCCTGAAACACCTGCCTGGGGCTCTGGTGCTGAGGGTTCCTCCTGACAGCGGTCACCCCCACTTAGATTTAGGGTTCAGCAGAACCAAGAGGGTGGCCACATGGTATGGGGGCAGAGGGGTGCTCCACATTCATGGGAGACACCCCAGGACTTCTTTCCTACCAGTCCCACAGCAAGCTCGACTGAAGTCTCAAAGGGGCTGGCTCCAGGCAGCCCCCGCCCCCGCCCCCGGGGTTGTGCTCACTTCAGCATCTGGTTGGACTTCTATGCCCACAGGTCCCCACAGACTCCCAGCTGGGGCTGGCCAGGCATCCTCTGAGCACTGACAGTGTCTACCATGTGCCTAGCCCAGGGCCACTCGCCACGCTAGCACCCCACCCCAGCCTCAGCAAGATAGGTGTGTGTCCCTTTGCCAAGAGCAGCTGAGGCTTAGGGGGTGAGTGGGCAGCTCGGGGGGTGTGGCCAGGACTGGCAGTGGGTCTGGGGGTCAGCAGAGCCCCGGTCCCCCCAATGAGGCTAGACAGGATTCATCTGGGGTCGGCCTGTGTCTCTCCAGGCTTCCCTGTGGCTGCAGGGGTGGGGAGGGGAAATCTGAGGCCCTAGCACAGGTTGATGGGGTCACCGGAGCCTGAACAATAGTCAGAGTCATCGCCCCACCAGTCCCTGAGACCCACGGGACTCTCGGTAGCGCTGCACTGTCCCCTCACCTACTGGACAACAGGCCTTCCCTCCCTCACAAATCGGCACCACACACGCGCGCGCTCTGCCCCCTCTGTTCTGTCCATGGTCACAGGCCCCACATCCGGAGTTCTAATAGGCGACTAGGACCCCTAGGTCCCACCCCTGCTCCTCCTGCTTCCTGTCTGCTCCGAGGTCAGCTGCCAGCAGGAAGATGTCCGAGTGGGAGCCAGGCTGGCTGACTTAACTGTGTGATTTGGCAAATGTTTGACCTTTCTGAGCCTCTGCCCCATCTCTAAGATGGACACAGTAATCACCTTTTAAGGCTGTTGGGAGATTTAGTGTGTTAACAGCAGATAGAGCAGAATGTGCCGGATGGATGACCCCCCAAAAGCCCAGTGCGGGGCCCAGAGATGAGTCTTTGGGTGCATCCTAGGCATAGGTCCAGCTACAAAGATCCCACCCATAAGTGGGTTCCCAGGGGTCAACACAGGTCAGCGTGTGTTCAGAGTAACTGCTGGCTCAGGGCTGGGTGGTCAGGACCTTGCCCTGGGCAACTCCCTCCTGGTCCCCTGAGTGCCCCACACCTGGCCTGGGGGACCTTTCGACTGGTCCCCTGGTATCCACCACACCTGCCCTGGGGCACCTCCCTGCTGGTCCCTTGAACCTCTACACCTCCTCGAGGGACCTCCCAGCTGATCCCCTGAACCCTCACGCCTGCCCTGGGGCACCTCCCTGCAGGTTCCCTGAACCCTCACGCCTGCCCTGGGGCACCTCCCTGCTGGTCCCTGAACCTCCACACCTGCCCTGGGGCACCTCCCAGCTGATCCCCTGAACCCTCACGCCTGCCCTGGGGCACCTCCCAGCTGGTCCCTGAACCCCCACATTTGTGGTGGGTGCTCCTTTAATTCAGGTGGCTTGGTGGTGTGTGGCTTGTCCTCAGTTTCCCATGGGGCTGGGGTTCAGCTGGGTGTTCTCATTGAGAGTGCAGGGGTCAGCACCCCGGGGTCTCACTTTGAGGAGCCGCTAGGTAGAGAGAAGACTTGGATCCTCAGATGTGGTCACTCTGGGCCTCAGCCCAGGGAGTCTGCGCTTGGCAGGGTGTCCGCGGAGCTGCAGCCTGTTTGCCTCCTTTCGTGGCTGCCGCTATGGGTCTTAAGGCTTCTTGCCACCTGGGCGTGTGTCCCGCCCTGTCCTTGGCCGCAGAGGTGACAGCACTGCTGAGGCCCAGTGTCTGGGGCCACATGGCCAATTGCTGCCCACTCCAGGCTTCCGCGGCCCACCTCTGCGTCTTAGGGATCAGCTGTCATCAGAGCTCTCTGGTGGAGAGAAAGCATGGTGCTGGTAGGACTTCCTGACACCCAAACACCCCCTGAGTTTCTGGGGTTCTGTCATTTCTTCTGTCCTGGCCAGTCCTCCATGTTGGCCGGGGCCGTGGGCGTCTCCTGGGGGAAAGGTGTGCGTGCGCACGTGCGTCTGTTGAGCGGCCCAGGTACACACTCGCGCCCGGCTGGCCCGCAGGCCTCAGTTTCCCCGCTCAGCGCCGCGGCCGGGCCCCTGCCGCGTGTCGTTGCAGCGCGCTGCAGGAGCAGAAGGGCGAGCTGCGCAAGCGGCTGTCCTACACGACGCACAAGCTGGAGAAGCTCGAGACCGAGTTCGACTCCACGCGCCACTACCTGGAGATTGAGCTGCGGCGCGCGCAGGAGGAGCTGGAGAAGGTCACGGAGAAGCTGCGCAGGTCAGGGCGCGGGGGCGGGAGCCCAGAGACCCCTCCTCTCCTGAGGTGCTCCCCGGGGTGCTCGCCGCCTCCAAGAGGGCGCAGACTCGCTGAATGGAGCACCGGAGCCGGGATTTGAACCGAGCATGAGAGCCCTTCCCCAGTGCTCTGGTCTCTGATAACCACAGTGCTGGCACCCGCATTAACTGTCATTGTGTTTAGGGATTGTTCTGAGGTCAGCGTGGGGGCCAGTGACACGTCCCCACAGGGAAACCCAAGGCTGAGCAATTATTCTTACAAAACCACAGTCTCTTACTGCACAGTTGAGGTGGAGATTCTAAAACTTACTCCCACCTCCAAGCTGTCTTGGGCAGAGAGCCTTTGCTGCCTGCTGGGCAGACCGCTGCCTCCCCCAGGGCTTTTGCCTCGGGCTGTCTCTGGATGGGGGTCTGCTGGTCCTTGTGACGGTCACTCTCTCAGGGAGTCAAGCAGGTAACAAAGCTTGAGCCAGTTATGGTCTGGCTCTGCCACTTAGCGGTTTTAGAAACCTCTGGCCTCAGTTTCTCAATCAGCAAGCTGGGGCAGTAACCCAACTATTAAGCAACTTCATGCTATCCCCAAGGCCCCACCACCACCATCACCCTTCTGATCTGTGTACCCCGCTCCCGCAGGCAGACCCCAAGAACTGTGTGCAGTGCCAGTCGGCAGAGGCTGACCTTTGTACCCCCAATTCCCGTAAGCTGGCCTCAGAAACTGTATGCAGTTTGGGTCTGCAGGGGCTGAACTGTGTACCCCCATTCCTGTGGGCAGGCTCTTGAGAAATGTGTGCAGTGCGGGTCTGCAGGGACCTCTGGCCTCCAGGTCACAGGGGACAGGGCAGTTTTAGACCCCAGCCAAGAGAGGCCAGTGTGGAGTGAGCTTTGGTGGGAAGATTCGCAGGCCTGGTGGAGTGTGAGGGCAGGGCAGGCTCGGGGATCTCAGGAGGGTCCTGCCACCACAGCGGTGACCTATGGCCTCCTGTTCCAGGATTCAGAGCAACTACCTGGCCCTGCAGAGGATCAACCAGGAGCTGGAAGACAAGCTGTACCGCATGGTGAGGCTGCCGGCAGCTCCCGGCCTGGCCCCCGCCCAGCGGGAGTGGGTGGCCCAGCTCAGGGACTGCCCTCTGAGCCCTGTGTCCAGACACAGAATGGCAGGCGGGCCGGGGCCGTCCTCCTCGGAATGAGAAGTCAGGAGCAGGGCATGAGCACCCATCCTGGGAGGCACCCAGGAGGGACCAGAGGAGAGACCCCACAGGCCGGGGCCTGGGGACCACAGGGGTAGAGTCCCAGGCCTGTGTTCAAGGCCTGGTGAGCTGAGCCGGTCAAGCAGGTCCCAGCCTTGGGTCTCTGGTGCCCTCACCTTCCCGTGAGGGAGCATGTGTGCATCAGGCTGGCCCGGCACCAACCACACTGGGCCCTCTCCTTTCCATCTCTCTCTACCCCTTTTTCTTTCTCTGTGTCCCTCCCCTTCCCTACCTCCTGTCTCTCCCCACCCCACCCTCATCTCTCCACACACCCCCCATCTCTTCTACTCCCCTCTCTGTGTCTCTCTCTACTCCTCGCCCCCGTCTCTGCCTCCCTCCCGCCCCATCCCTCATTTGGAGCAAAGGAGGCCGTGGTGGGGACCTTGGTGTCTGGCTCAGGATCAGAACAGTGGTCATTCTGCCCCAGCAGGGGGTTGGTGGGGAGGAGGGTTTCTGCCCTTTCTCTCCACTTTGGTTACAGCTTGTCTTTGAAAATCTCAATGGGGTTCAACTCCCTGTTCTTCAAGGTACCCTTGGGAGGGAACCGGAAAGCCTAGGTTTGGGCCTGGCTTTGCTCTGGAGCCATTTCTTTATGAGCCTCAGTTTCCCCAGTCTGTCCAGTGAGATGGTGGCATGCAGGGAGGACCCACCTCTCTCCACAGAGGAGGTGAGACTGCTGCGTGCCAGCCGTCCTCAGTAGTCATGCAGCCCCTTAGGGGGCAGGGTGTTACTGTCCCATTTCATAGATGAGGACATCGAGGATTAGACAGGAAGTGGTTTACCCAAGGTCATCCAACCTGTCACTGTCTGGGCTCATAACTCCTGAACCCCTTGGCCTATAAGCACCTTGTTGTCAAGAGGCCCCACACCAGTCCTGTGGTCTTCCTCTCTTTGGGGGCGCTGGCCACTGACCGCTGTGTCCCTCACCCTCAGGGCCAGCACTATGAAGAGGAGAAGCGTGCCCTGAGCCACGAGATCGTCGCTCTCAACAGCCACCTGCTGGAGGCCAAGGTGACCATCGACAAGCTGTCGGAGGATAACGTGAGTGCCGTGCGCGCCGGGGCCAGTGGGGCTCAGGGCCTGGGTAGAAGGAGCCGTTCCTGCTTCCTGGATGAAGGGTGCCATTGAGGGAGGGGTCCCTGTGGACTGGAGATGCCGTGTCAGGCCTGCAGTCCGGGGGTGACTGTGGGTGGTGTTTGAAGCCGACAATGGGCTGAGATCTCCAAGGCGGGGGCAAAAAGAAGGGGAGACCCCAGACAGTCAGGGCACCTCAGAGACAGCTGGGTGGGAGCTGGAGGGGACAGAAAGCAAAGCAGAAAAGTGGCTGTCACCAGCACAGGCCAGCCCATCACAGGTGACAGAGGGGCTGGGGAGTGGACGGTGGTGTGGGGAGGGACTACCTTGGCTCCGGTGACGTGACTGAGTGGGGGTGGGCTACAGAGAAGGGGACCCCACAGAGCCTCATGCAGACAGAGTAGCAGAAGCTGGAGACAGCTGTGGGGGGACAGTCCAGCACTCGGCAGGAATCGCCGCAGTCCTGTGTCCTCTGCAGAAGTGGCACATGAGAAAGTGAGGACACAGCCAGCTTTGGTGGTGGCCACTCCAAGCAGTGCAGAGCTTGAACTGGGGACACCTGAGCCTGGTTCTTGCCACCTACTTTCTGTCTGAACTGTCCCCACTAGCACGTCCTCCCCGGAACCCATCCCCTGAGAGGACTCCCTGGCTGACCTGAACTGGCATCTCGGGCACCGTGCCTCACCAGAGGCCACGGACATGACAGATGCTGCCCAAGTGGCGCCCATAGTGTGGTGGCCACCAGGATGACCAGGTTATGCCCATAGGTTTCAAGCACCAGCCGCGGTGAGGCCGAGGAGCTTCTCAGGGAGAGGGCACAGAGAGTGTGGGGGCCCAGGGACCCCCAGACATGCCCCACTGCAGGGGGTAGGGGGCCGCTCTCGGCTGCAGGGACGACCCCCCCCCCCACCTCCTCACTGGGCTGCAGGACGCCTGGTCAGCCTGCAGCACCATGGGTGGACCTCAGAGCCTCCTTGCAAGGGTCACGGTTCGGGGACCGAAGGCCCTACCACAGGCACATGCAACAGAGATTTCCAAGGACTCTGTCCCCAAGCCTACTGTTTGCATCTGTTTTCAGCTCAGCAGGCCTAGTAGGTCCCCTCACAGCTCCCACCCCACCCTGCAGCCACACTGGGTGACCAGGGGGCTGTGCACCCACTTCCTGGAAGTTCCCTGAGGAGGGGTTTGGGGAGATGCAGCAGCACTTGGGGACCACTGGGGCCCTCCCTCGCTGCCCACCCTGTCAGAGGGTTCCGGTGCCCGACGCCTTCTCTCTCTTTTAGGAGCTCTATAGGAAGGACTGCAATCTAGCGGCCCAGCTGCTGCAGTGTAGCCAGACCTACGGCAGGGCCCATAAGGTGTCCGAGGTAACGTGACCCACCTGAGCCGGGCCTGCTGGGCCGCCGGCCCTGCCCCACGCTCTCCTGGCCAGCGCCTCTGCGGCCTCCCCACCTGGGGGCACGGCAGAGGGCTGCTGGAGACCTCCACACCTTCCCACTCACCACCTCCCCCACGGCCCTCAGTGCAGCACCCGTCTCCCCGGTGGACCCTCTCAATGCAGCACCCCCATCTCCTTCAGACCCCCAACCCTCAGTTTCTTGCTGTCCCCAGCACGCCCTCGACCTTCAACACAGCGCACTGATCACTCCGGCAGCCCTCAGAGCGGCACCCTCTTTCCCCCAGAGTCCCCTCAGATTTCAGTGCAGGGCCCCCAGTCCCCAGATCTCTCTGCAGCACCCTCATCTCCCATCAGCAGCTCTGGTGGGTCAGCGGGTAAGGAGTTAGCTTTGCCAACACGAAGGCAGGCGTCCAATCCACCAGCTGCTTGGCTGGGGAGAGAGAGGATCCGTCTCCATCCTGCAGCTTTACAGCCTCCGAGGACCTGCTGGAGGCCGCCCGGTGCCTGCCTCAGTTCTCACTCAGAGGCCAGCAGGGACAGTTCTGAAATCTCCCCGTCAACTCTCAGCCCTCAGTCAGCACCCCACTCTCCCCATCAGCCCTCAGCACAGCACCCCACTCCCCCCATCAGCCCCCTGGCACTCAGTGCCACACCCTCTTCTGCACGTAGGCACTCTTGACCTTCAGTGCAGTGCGCCCCTCTCCCCAGCAGCCCCTCTGCCCCTCCCATCGGTCCCCCAGTGTGGCACATGCTGTCCCCGGTGGCCACCTCGGCCCTTCACTCTCTTTCTTGTCCTTCCCCCGGCCTTGCCCACTGAGCGCTAATGTGGAATCCTAGCCAGTGCAGGGTGCAAGTAAGGACTGTGTGCACAGAGACCAGGGCCTGGCTGAAGGCACAGCAGTGGGCAGAGGTGGGACTTGAACTCAAGTCTCAGGGTTCCAGTCAGGCCCACACACCACTGTTCACCCCAGGCCTGTCTGCACCCCGTCCTTGGGCCGGGCCCCACCTGAAACACTCACAAAATAGATCAAACAGTAGCATGTGTGCCCCGGTCACCGGGCGCTGGCAGCAGCTGGGGCGCCTGGCTCTGCTTCCCTCAATCTTTGTTGCATCTGTTTCTGACTGTGTCTTGTGTGGGCGTCCCCGGGCCGGCACGAGTCGGGGTGGGGAGGGACTGGGGGGCACACAGCCCCAAGGGGCACGTCGGCCAGGTCCCAGCCTCTTCCCAAGCCTCTCAGCTGGGCGAGGAGGGGCCGGGGCTGGTGGGCAGGGATGTGGGGGCCTCAGCCACTGGAGTGTTGAGACACAAAGCCCGGGGGAGGGCCCAGCTCCTCTGTCCGTCTGTCTGTCTGTCTGTCACCGCCGCGGCTGGCTCGGGCCAGTGCTGACCGCCCTCCCCGCCCGCACAGCTGCCCTCGGACTTCCAGGAGCGCGTGAACCTGCACATGGAACAGCACGCCTGCAGCCTGCCCTCGCCGCTCTGCCACCCGGCCTACGCCGACAGCGTGCCGGCCTGCGTCATTGCCAAGGTGCTGGAGAAGCCCGACCCCTCCAGCCTGTCCTCGCGCCTGTCCGACGCCTCGGCCCGCGACCTGCCCTTCCGCGACGGCCTGGAGAAGCCGCGGCCCCCCTACAAGGGGGACATCTACTGCAGCGACACGGCCCTCTACTGCCCCGACGAGCGGCGGCGCGACCGGCGGCCCAGCGTGGACCCGCCGGGCACCGAGGGCTTCCTGCGCGCGCAGAACTCCACCGACAGCGCGCTGGACGAGGAGGAGGAGGAGGCCGAGGCCGCGGGCTACCCTGCTGCCTACCGCCACGGCTTCCCCGGCTACGCCGGCTCGCTGCCCACGTCCAGCTCCTACTCGAGCTTCAGCGCCACGTCTGAGGAGAAGGAGCACGCGCAGGCCAGCACGCTGACCGCCTCGCAGCAGGCCATCTACCTGAACAGCCGCGACGAGCTCTTCGAGCGCAAGGCACCCTCCTATCAGGGCAGCCCACGCTTCGCCACGGCCACGGCCACGGCCACGGCCGGCCCGCTCGAGGCGGAGGTGGCCCCAGGCTTCGCGCGGACCGTGTCGCCTTACCCCGCCGAGCCCTTCCGCTTCCCGGCCTCCCCGGGCCCCCGGCAGGCGCTGATGCCCCCCAAAATGTGGAGCCTGCAGGCCAAGCCCGCATCGGCCCGGCTGTCCGGGGAGGAGCCGCGCAGCCAGTGGCGGCCCCTGAGCGTGGAGGACATCGGGCCCTACTCCTACCCCACCAGCCGGGCCTCGCCCTGCAGCTTCTCCGAACGCTACTACGGCAGCGTGGGCAGTGTGAGTAGCCCAGGCAAGAAGGCCGAGGGCCGGGCAAGCCCCCTGTACGCCAGCTACAAGGGTGACAGCTTCTCCGAGGGCGACGACCTCTCCCAGGGCCGCCTGGCCGAGTCCTGCTTCCTGCGCGCGGGCGCCGACCTCAGCCTGAGCCCCGGGCGCTCGGCCGACCCGATGCCCGGGTACGCGGCCAGCGAGGGCAGCGGGGAGCGGCTGGGGGTGCAGCTGTGCGGCCCGGGGGGCAGCCCCGAGTCGGAGCGTGGCCCCGGCTACGGCAGCGAGCACAGCCCATCCAGCTCGCGGGGCTCCCTGGAACCCAGCTCCATGGAGGCCTCTCCAGAGATGCGCCCTGCAGCCCTCCTCAGCACCCAGCAGGCCTTCCCACGGACTGGCAGCTCCGGCCTGAGCCGCAAGGACAGCCTCACGAAAGCCCAGCTCTACGGCACTCTGCTCAACTGAGCACTCGCCACACAGTGGCCACTGTGGTCCCGGGAGGAGGCAGCCTCGCCCCCCTCCAGAATACGGACCATGGCCCTGTCCACCCCATCCCTGGCCACTGTGGTCCCGGGAGGAGGCAGCCTCGCCCCCCTCCAGAATACGGACCATGGCCCCGTCCACCCCATTCCTGGCTATCGTGGTCCTGGGAGGAGGCAGCCTCGCCTCCCCCTGAACACGGACCATGGCCCCGTCCACCCCATACCCGGCCACTGTGGTCCCCAGGAGGGAGGTCACCTCACTGCTCCCTGAATACCAGGACCATGGCCCAAGCCCACACCATTCTCGCTCACTATGGTCCATGGGAGGGGAGGTCAACCTCGTCTTCCCCAGATACTGTGACCATGGCCTTATCCCACCCCATCCCCGTTCACGTTGCTGCCCAAGAAGGGAGGCAGCCTCACCGTGACCTTGGCCTCATCTCCCCCATCCCTGCCCACTGTGTTACCTGGGAGGGAGGCAGCCTCACCTGTGCCCAGATACCTTAGTCATGGCCTCATCCCACCCCATCCCCGCCCACGTGCTGCCCAGGAAGGGAGGCAGCCTCACCGTGACTTTGGCCTCATCTCCTCCATCCCCGCCCACGGTTACCCAGGAAGGGAGGGCCCTGTGCCCTGACACCTTGACATGGCCCAGCCCAGCCCGCCCACGCCCATCAAGGCAGGGTAGGGCCCCTCACTTGTGCCCAGGCACACTCATGTGTCCCTCCTCTCGAACATGGAGCTCTAAGAGGAGAGACTCCACTCCTCCACATCCCTGTTCTCCACCTGGCCCAGCAGGACCCCCTAGGAAAAGGGTCCTCCCCAGGTCCCCAAGATGGACCCCTACTCGGAACATTTCCACACTCAAATCCTTCCTGTCTGAAATGGGAAGCCTCCCTTTTATAAAGTGAAACTATTTTTATAGAGAAAAAGGGTCTTTCTTAGTTAACTTGGCCTCCAGCCCCTGGGCAGCAGCCTTGAAACTTCCAGTAAGTCCCTTTACTGTAGAAGAGAGCAGGTGGGGTGTGGCCTGAGACGGGGCAGGGGTCCTCTGGGGTCTGTCCCAAGAAAGGGCAGTGGGGTCTTCCTCAAGAGTGGACTGTGGGGCCCTTGGGGATTTGCCCGGGGAAGGGGCCTGTGAGATTCTGTAAAGACCAAACTCCCCAGGCAGAAGCACCCCAGCCAGCCGGTGGTGAAGGGATGGGAAGCTCTGTCCACGCCGAGGGGACTCCACCCGGGTGAGGGGCCTGGAGATGTTTTTAAAGTCTTTCTCACGTGTGGCCGACACGCCATCCTGAGCGCGCCAGGCCCCCGTCCTGCGGGGCGGGCATGGTGCCTGCGTGCGGCCGGTGCTCCTCCCTCCTGCCACCCCGCTTCTGTGCCACCTCACTTCTACCTCAGACGTGACGAGGCCCGACCCTGTTCCCGTCGCTTGCGTCCGTGTCGTTTGCGAAGCATGCCAACGTGTCACTTGTACTGTATTTTGCATTCATTAATAAAAGACACCGGTGGACTCATTCAGATCCGCGTGGTTTCTTCCCCTCGCTGCCTGTGGCGTGGAGGCCCTGGTGGCACAGAGGCTCACCGCTTGCTTGCCGACCTAAAGGTCAGATGTTCGAGCCCCCCAGCTGCACTGTGGGAGGAAAATGTGGCAGTCTGCTTCTACGAAGGTTCACCACTCTGGAAGCCGTGCAGGACAGGTCCGTGCTGGCCTGCGGGGTCACTAGGAGGGAACGGACTTGGTGGCAATGGTTATAGGATCTAGTAAGGAGCCTGGTGGTGCAGCGGTTAAGTGCTCTTCTGCAAACTGAAAGGTTGGTATCCTGAACCCACCTCTGGTCCACAGGATGACGGGCTGTCTGCTTCTGTAAAGATTGTTTTTGTTGTTAGATTGCTGTGAGTTGTCCTCAACGGTCACCCTGTGGACAACAGACCTGAGCCCTGGCCTGGTCTGTGCCATCCTCCTCATCACTGACACACTACGGCCCACTGGAGCCGTCAGCTGTGTCCATCGCATTGAAGGGCTCCCCCTCTTTCACTGACCCTCCACGTTTCCAATGATGTCCCGCTCCAAGGAGTAGCCTCTCCTAGCAACATGCCTGAGGTGTGTGAGACACAGCTTTGTCATCTTGGCCTCCAAGGAGCACCCCGGCTGCACGATGTGTCTGATGGGGTGTTCAGGGCTCTTCTCCAACCCTTTCAAAGGTGTCAATTTTTCTGTTGTTCCACAGCTGTGGCAACCTCATAAGGGCTTCTGCTCTGTCCTGTGGCTTGGGGTTCTTGCCGTTGCCCCCCACCTGCAGGCCCTGCCCCAGCGTCTTGAGTTACTGTTCAGTGTGGGACCCTTTGATTTTCCTCTGCTCAGCAGACACGCCTGCTATTCTTCTTGTTCCTACAATGTCCATGGACATCCACGGGCACTGTTCTCTCCTTGCATTTCGACTGCCCTTCTGAGTCCAGAGATCCTTCTTGGTGGCAAGCTCACTCGCGCTTGCTTCTTGGACAGTGCCTTCGGAAGCTGCTCTGGTCACTAGCCTCAGGGATAGTTTTTCCCTTTCTTCTCTGGCTAAGGTGCGCCTGATACAGGCCATGGTCTTTGCAATCACTTGTTATGCATCAGAGCGTTGGACAATGACTAGGGAGGATAGAAGGAGAACTGATGCCTTTGAGCTGTGGTGCTGGAGAAGAGTATTGAGGGTACCATGGACTGCTAAGAAAACAAACAGGTTCATCCCAGAGAGGGTTAAACCAAGCTACTCCTTGGAGGCAAGGATTCTGAAGTTCCATCTGACATACTTTGGACATGTTGCAAGGAGGGACCAGTCCTTGGAGAGGCACGTCATGCTTGGGAGGGTGGAGGGACAGCGCAGGAGGGGAAGACCCTCTATGAGACCGATCGATTCAGTGACTGGGGTAATTGGGGTGGGTGTGTTGGAGACAGATTGGCACAAGTCAGAGCAGGGTTCAGAGCTGTTGTACACAGGGTCACTATGAGTTGCAAGCACATAACAACAACAACAACTGACTGCCAGTTGACCTTCTCTTTGATGTTGACTTCTTTCATTTCCTGGGTGTGTCCTGATCCTTTCGTAATTTACAGACATTGTTATCTGTGTATTTCATCAGCTCCGGGAACATCTCATACACTTTACTCAGCATTTCTCTGCCCCCCCCTTCCCTCCCCTCTGGGGCTTTTGACCCACCTGCAGTGGATGGTCGGGCTGTGTCCTGCTTGGCTGCTTCCTGCTCCCACAACAGTCTCTAGAGTCTGGCTTCCAGGTCCCCCACAACATGTTCCTGTGTAACCCTTTGGGCTGCAGAATCCCCCCATCATGTGTCTGTGTCACCCCTGGGGCCTGAAGTCCCCCCCCGTTGTGTCTCCATTTTACTCCCTGGGCCCCAAAGACCCCCTGTCATGTCCCTGTGCCACTCCCTGGGCTGAAGCACTTGCTGGACGGACATCTGCAGAGCACAGAGTGGGTCTCTGATGCCCGCAGCACACCTCTGGCCAGGTGATCTGATGGCACTCTGGACGCAAACCAAACGCCTTGTCCTCCTGCCGACCCCCCCCCTTCCAGGTCTGAGGCTGTAATTCTTTATTTTGGAGTTGCTGGTGGATTCAAACCACTGACCTTCCAGTGGGCAGCCCAATGCTCAACTCACTGTGCACCAAGACAGATGTGGAAACGGAGACTCAGAGACAAGCAGAGACTAGCTGTGGCCCAGGCTCCCTCCCCCTTCTCTGTGCCCAGCCACGCCCGTCCTCCTCACGTCCACCTCCCTGGTCGCCTCCGTTGACACCCCGACGGGGACGTCCCCTCACCCTTGGGGCCTGGCTGCCCTGGAACCAACCTCAGCCACAGGGCTCTCCCCTCCCGTGAGCCGTGGCACTGTGGTCCCTCCCCAGCTTGTCTCTGATCCCTGGTGTTGGTAGGTGAGTGTTCTCTGGCCTGCCCGCACCCAGCGCCCTCTCAGGCTGACTCCTCTCAGGCCCTGGCCCCTCGTGACCCTCCTTTACCCAGCAGGCAGATGGTGTGGTGGTGGGCAAGGAGCACCAGCCTGGGGCCTGTGCTGGCACGGAGGGTGCAGGCAGGGGTCTGTGTGCTGGTGGGAAGTTCTGAGAGGGGCAGAAGCTCAAGGCATCACCCCAGGGCTGCCCTGTCCCAGGCCCCTCAGGCTGTGTGTCTTCTGGGGACCCCGCGGTTGGGGAGGGGGAAGGGGAGGCAGAGGGAAGCCGCCCACACACACATGCTGAGAGACAACAGAGCAAAGACACAGTCAGATATTTAATAGCATCCCCGACGCCAGCCGAGGCTCGCCCTCTACAGTCTGCATGCCCTGAGAAGGGGGGATTTCTGACCCATTTCACAGGGCAGCAAACGGAGGCCGGGAAAGGGCTGGGTACGGTTCGCAGGGCCCATGCTCCCCCAGGATGAGGGCTGGGCCGGCAGTACGCACAGCCCCCTGCAGCCAGCTCAGTGCCACACCTTCACGTCCCCATCCCAGGAGCAGCTGGCGAGCACAGACGGCAGCACCGGGTGGAAGGTGACGCCGACGCAGGCCTGCGTGTGGCCCTGCAGCGTGCGTGCCCAGCTGGCCGTGCGGAAGCCGTACAGGAGGATCCGGCCGTCCGCGCTGCCCGTCATCAGCAGGTCCCCGTCGGGGGAGCACTCACAGCCAACCGAGTAGCCTTCCACCTGCAGGGACAACACAGGAAGGGTGTATGGGGCACCTGGTGACCCACTTGGTCCCCAGGCAAGCTGGCAGCGGCAGTATCACGCCCATTCTCTAGAGGGGCAAGATGAGGCCTGGAGAGAGCAAGGTGGTCACCCAGTGCTGGCAGCAGGCAGAGCCGGGGCACAGCCCATGGCCCAGCTGAGCTCATCCAGGGATACAGGGCTTTGGCTGAAGCCTCCTTCCCCACCCCTAACAGACTGGGGCCTCCTGGGTGGAGGGTGGTGGGGCCCAGGGCCGCAAGTGGACACCATGTCACATGGTCAACCAGGACTAGAAGGCAGCCCTGCCTACAGGAAGGGCCCACGCGCAGCCTGGGGGACAGCATACCTTGTGTCCTTCATAGCGACGCCTTCTGCACATCCGGTAGGGCCACACGGCAGAGAAGAGGGCCAGGTAGTTGCCATTGGTCTGTGCCAGGAACACAGGCTCCCGGGGGTGCAAGGTGAGGCTGGGGCAGGTGTACCTCTCCTGTGGGACAGCGGGGCCACAGAGAGGGGTGAGACTCAGTCCTCTGTCCGACAGACATCACTCAACACTGGGCACTGCCTTTCACCCAGGCCTGGGCATGGTCTGCATGATCTCCTGTGGCTGCCGTAGCAAACGACCACAGGCTTGGTGGCTGGAAGCATCACTCATTCCTGATCTCATAAAGCTGGAGGTGGGTCTCACCTGCCAAAGTGAGGTGTGCAGGAGGACACCGGACCCCTGCCTTTCCCAGCTTCTGTATGTGCCTGCACCCCATCCCTCCTGGTCCCCAGCTGATACCTGTGTCTTAACCCCTGTGCCCTGGGAATAGCATCGCAGACAGCAAAGATAAAGGGTCCTGCAGCTATGATGACGTTAGGATCCCAGGTGGGGAGGTGACCCTGGAAGACGGTATAATGATAAGGGGGAGGCATGGGGAGACCTCACACGTGGAGGAGAAGGCAATAGGATGTGAGCCAAGTGATGAGAGATTGGCCTTGGAGGCTGGAGTGATGCAGCCACAAGCCGGGAAAGCTGGCCACACTGGAAGCTGGAAGAGCAGGGACACTCTCCCCGTCAGTCTCCAGAAGTGTGTCCTCCGGCACTCAGATGTCAGCCGAGCTAGGCCGATGCGAACATCCGGCTTCCAGAGCTGGGAGGGAGTAAATCCCTGCTGCTTCAGGCCACCAAGTTCGTGGTGATTTCTGACAGCAGCACTGGGCACAGGTGGTCCCAGAGGCAGATGGCCAGTCGAGAAGACCAAGACTGTGTGAACTGTGAGGGAGAAGCACCATGTGCAGCCTGGCCACGCAGAGACCCTCGTGGGGCCCCTGCCTCCGTGCTGTCAATACTCAGTGAGCCCAATTCCACGGAGTCATGGGAGCCGAGCTGCAGAAGGTGCCCCTCAGAGGCAGCAGATGAGCTGGGGGTCCCACGGTGGGCAGATGCCTGCTCCCCCTACACGGCGGATGCCAAGGCCTAACCAGTAATTCATTATGCGGCACTTCCATCTGCCTGGCTCTTCCACCTCCAATCAGGTTCTCAGAGACAGGCCGCCTGATGGCCAGACAAGACCTCCTCTCGCCCCCCAGCCCATCTTCCCAGTGGGCAGAACGAGGTCTTTGTGTGGAGATCTCAGGGTGAGTTTGCACAAGATCACTCGAGGCTCTCCAAGACCAAGAGAAAAAGAAGGAGGAAGGGCGTGTCTGTAACCGGAGAGGACATCTTGGAATTCAGAGTGGAAGTACCAAAGAGATTAACCTTCTCTTAAAGGAAACAAGAAAGATTCGGGGTGGGGGTATTGCCGTGGTGACGGCTACAGTGGTGCAGTAATGTCACTGTGGTGGTGATGGTGGTGTGGTGACTGCTGTGGTTGTGGTGGTGCCGTGGCAGTGTAATAGTGGCAGCAATTATGGTGGTGGTGGTGGTTATGGACATCGCAGTGCTGGTGGTGATGGTGGTGATGATGAAGGTGATTGCAGTGATGGTGCCGGTGGTGGTGGCGGCAGCACCAGTGATGGTGGTGATAATGACTGCTGTGGTAGATGATGGTAGTGGCGGTGGTGGAGGTTGTGGTCATGGTGGTGGAGATGGTAATGGTGGTGATGGTGATGGTGGTGGTGGAGGTGATAGTGGAGATGGTGGTGGTGGTGGTGGTGGAGGAGGAGATGGTGGTAGAGGTTGTGGTCATGGTGGTGGTGATAGTAGTAGAGGAGGGGGTGGTAGTGGGGAAGCAGTGGTAATGATGGCGGCTGTCGTGATTACTGTTGTGGATGGTGATGGTAGAGGTTGTGGTCATGGTGGTGGTGGAGGTGATGGTGGTGGTGGTAGTGAAGGAGGTGATGGTGGTGGAGGAGGTGGTGGTGGTAGTGGTCATAGTGGTGGAGGAGGTGATGGTGGTGGTGGTCATAGTGGTGGAGGAGGTGATGGTGGTGGTGGTAGTGAAGGAGGTGATGGTGGTGGAGGAGGTGGTGGTGGTAGTGAAACAGTGGTAATGATGGTGGCTGTCGTGATTACTGTTGTGGATGGTGATGGTGTTGCGATGGTGGTGGTGATGGTGGTCTTGATAAACTCCTTTATTGAGAACTCTCCGGGACTGTTTTGTGCTAAACCCTTTAGAAAAGTCTCTTAATTCTCACATAATTCTTTGAGTTGATTAATATAATTGTGCCCAGTTTATCAGTGAGGTGAATGAGAATCAAAGAGGCTGATTGCTGGGTCCCGGCTCATCTCACTGTAAGTGGTGGAAGGACTTGGTGCTCTAACTTGGTGTCCACTGGTGACTTCCAGCATGGCAGCAGCCAACCCGAGCAGAACTGAAGCCCCAGTGCCCAAGAGGGCTGGCTGGCAGTAGGAGGGAGCGGCTGTCTGGCATTGTCCATTAAGCTAGGTAAGCCTCAGGTCACTCACTAGTCTGTAGTGAACGAGTGCACACTTTTTCACACCTGAGATTCTGCTTGTAGCCAGTGGTCACACTGTCTCTCTCCCAGCCCCACAGCTCCTTCACAGAGACTGGACTGAGAGGCCAGGGACACACAGGCCTGACCGTGCTCACTGACTGCCGTGGAGGGTGGGCACTCCCACGTGCTTTTTCACTGCATCAAAGAGGTGGTGAAATCCACGTGTCAGCTGTTCACCGTAGAGTAAGTAAGCTTATCAGGGACTCCTCCCCGCCCAGGGGGAAGAGCCAAAGTTGAGGTTCTGGTCCTCGTGGCCAGGCCAGGCTGCCCCCAGTACCCTCACCTGTGGAGCTACTGAGCCAGGAGGAAGAATCTGGGCACCCTCACGTGGCCTGATCCCCCCAGGAAGTTACCTGGGACCCCAGGATGGCACCATGAGTCCCAAGAAGGAACTGGAAAGCCACACAAAGCTGCTTACGTGGAAAATCTGGTTGGAGATCTTAGCAGAGGTGCGGAAATCCCAGGCGATGATGGTACGGTCAGCAGAGTCCCGGCTTGATGCATCGGTGCTACTCAGAAACTCCGAACCTTCCTGGAGGAAGAGGATGTCCAGGGTCTGCTGGACGGCCGCCTTGTAGCCTCTGACCACCTGAAAGAGAGGCCTCGTCACCTGGTGGGACCCTGGGACTACAGTCCTCGGTCAGCTTCACGCCAAACAAGAGGACAGTCAGTTGGTCAGTAACACTTGGCAGGGGGGATGCCCACTCCACAGAACAATTAATCACACGAGGTCCAAGGGCTGCCTGTGCCCAGGGAGAAAGCTCAAGGGCATAATGCGTCATCGCATGTCGAGCTAACGCAAACGTGGACAGTTCAAATCTACCGGCTGCTCCGGGGAAGGAGGCTTGGCAGTGTCCTTCCATAAAAATCTCCCAGCTCAAAAGTTTTTGGTAATGACATGTCAGACAAGGGACTTATATCTAGAATTTATAAAATACTCAAGCACCACAACAAGATAAAGGAGAATAATCCAATTGAAAAATGGGCACAGGATATGAACAGACACTTCACCAAGGAAGACATTCAGATGGCCAACAAGCACATGAAGAAATGTTCAAAATCCCTAGCCCTGAGAGAGACGCAAATCAAGACAACCATGAGATATCATCTCACTCCAGTAAGACTAGCAAAATTTAACAGAACAGCAAGCAACAAATGCTGGTGAGGTTGTGGAGAGACTGGAACCCTTATTCACTGTTGGTGGGAGTGTAAAATGGTGCAACCATTGTGGAAAGCATTGTGGCGCTTTCTCAAGAAGTTGCAAATAAAGATACCATTTGACCCAGCAATTCCACTACTGGGAATATACCCTAAAGAGACCATAAATGACATCCAAGTAGATATATGTATACCCATGTTTATCGCGGCTTTGTTTACAATAGCAAGGAGTTGGAAACAACCTAAATGCCCATCAACAAACGAATGGGTAGAGAAGCTGTGATATATTCGCACAATGGAATACTATGCTGCATTGAAAAACAAGGAACTCATGCAATATTATTAAAAATGGGTGACCCTGGAGGACATTATGCTGAGTGAGGTATCTCAGTCACAAAGGGACAAATGCTATATGGTGCCACTGTTGTAGAATGAGGCTGACACCGGGGTGGGGGTAAGACTGAGAAAAACTGGATGAAATATGTTTACAGCATTGAAGTCTATGGGGGAGAGAATAGTCTAAAAGTATTATATTTTAGGGCATTATTTTTATCGTAGGAGTATGCAATGAGGGTTGCAGAGTGGATTATATTTGGGGGTAGGGGGTGGGGTTTGGGGAGGTGCGAGGGGATTGTGTACCAATGAGGGAGTTTTTCTTTTGCTTTTCAAGGAGAGGAGCAAACGGGGGGGTGGTTTGTGCGGGGAGAGGGGTGCAACAATGAATGAATGGAATTCCAAAATCTCTGTAGATGTTCATTGAAATGAAAAATAAACAAACTAAATTAAAAAACAAAAATCTCCCAGCTCACCCAATGGAGAGTCACGGAGTCAGAGCTGACTCAGGGCAGTGGTTTGGCATTTTGGGGGATTTATTTGTTGAAGCTCGGAAGGAAGAAAGGGATGGGCTCAAAGGGTGAATGGAAATGAGAATCATGGGGGGAGAAGGAAGGAGGATGTTACAAGGTGGGGACTGTAATTAATATCATAAAACAATCAGTGTAAACGGCTGAATGGGAAACTAAAGCGCGAGAGTGCACGCACGCGCCACACACACACACACACACACACACACACACACACACACACACATCAACCACAAAGAGGTCCTGTCAGTGGTGGCCTCACGTCCAGTCCTTGCTTCCCCATGGGGGCGGTTGGAGGGGTAGTGTCTGTCCCCTGCCAGGCCTGCTTCTCCTCCCATCTGGCTTCTCCTCCCCTCTGTAGGGACCGGGAGCCCCTGAGGTGTGATGAGCTCAGTTTAGGGGTGATTCCTGAGTCTTGGGAAGGGATTCACACTTGCCTGTGTGCTGAGGGCGTGGGGTAGGAGAGAGAGGACCAATTACACCTCATGGCATCTGAGGTCCCAGCCTCTTGGCCCCGAGGACTGGAGACCAGAAAGGTGTGTATTCAGCTTGTTATTAGCATCTTCACTGATATGTCACAGTCTTTTGTGGCACAAACCATCACTAAGGACCAGGCAGCTGTTTTGGTTTTTCTGAACATTTTACTGCACTCAGCGTCCACGCTGAAATGACTGGGAAGGGGAGGGAGTTCCGAGTACAGGACAGAAGACTATCTCCCCTTCACAGAAAGGCACGGAATTGCATCCGCGGAACAGAGGCGAGTGGAGGCTCCAGGTGCAGCAGGGGCCCCGCCGGCAGTTTACCAGCATCTGGGGCGCCACCATGTGGCAACAGCTTGGACACGGTCCTCGTCGGCCTCCCTGCAGTCAAGCGAGACGTACTGACCGACGAAAGATAGACAGATAAATAAATACACCGCTGGAGTCCAGGTTCTTCCCCATTTTCGTGCAGAGTAACACCTCTATTTCCCATCGCCTTTTCAAGCCCACCTAAGTGACTTGAGCATTAAATGCAGCATGCCACAGCCGCACTGAGATGAGGTGTTCTGAAGACCCATACTCCAGATGAGGAAGACCGAGGCTCAGGGAGATGTGGTTTATCGGTGGCACTGAATCCTGAGGACACAACTGATTATCTCCCAGCCCCGGGGGCCACACCGTGCAGTGGGTGGGAGCTAGGGGTTGTCCGCCTGTCGTCCTCCAAGCAGAAACCCACTGACTCAGGGAGAAAGGTCAGGGATTGAGGGTCCTAGCGGTCTGCCAAGCTCCCAGCTGGAGTTAACTGTGTGTGTGGGGTGGGGGGAGGGTGAAGGGAGGGAGTCAAAGTTCAGCATGGACTCGTCACAGACATCCAGTCACAAGGCAGGGGGACTCTCCTGGCCTCTGGGCCAGCTGGTCAGGAAGCCCTCAGGCGGATCGCAGGTCCACAGGTGGCTGCATGACCTGGGGCAAGTACCTCAGTCCCCACACCTACAAAGTGGGGATAGGAACAGGATCTGTCTCTTAGGGACTAGGTGACATGCCAGCTACATGACTTCCCCACATGGACACTCAGAGACGTCCATTCCACAGCCACAGCATTAGAATCTCAGGATGGGTGTTGTTGAGGATGTCCCTTTGCCTCCTGCTTCATTTACTCTCCCACGTAAACATCATGGTCTCTGCAAACTCAAAGATGCACGCAGAACAGTAGAGGGGTGCAGTCCCTCGCCACTCCATGGGGGCCTGCTGAGGGCCACGCTCTGTGATCTAAACTCAACACACGTCCAAAATCAAGCCCAACACCATCCAGCTAACTTCCACTCACGGCAACCCTGTAGAGCAGAAGAGAGCTTCCCCAACTGGCTTCCGGGGCTCCCCTCAGCATGAGAAAGCAGTCTGACATCTTTTTGTCCTTCAAAGAGCCAGGTGAGCTCAAACCACGTATCTCTGGGTTGATTTAACCACTGCATCACTAACACTCTCTCTCAAGTAGAAGGTGCCAACTGCAGAGAATAAGTCTAAAGGATCCTTTGGCAAATTATAAAAGGATCAGAAATTGTAATTTAGCAACAACAGAGTGGGGAGAAAGGAAAAAAAAACCACACAACACACCACCTTGATTAAAATGATCCACAGCCTGGGGCTGGGAACGATGTTCCCCCAAAGACTCTAAAGTCAGAAGCAATGAGAGAAAATACGAGTACATTTGACTGTGTGAAAAACAACAGTTAACAATGATAAGAAAGCACTTTTGCATGGCAGAAAGCACCCTGGTTAGGCGCCAACACGTGACCCACATAGCCAGTCCCATCACCCTCACCGGCAGTGTTCTGTCTGAGCCAATGTTACAGCTACTGTGTCAATTCCCCAGGCTGAGGGGTTTCCTCTATTTTTCTGACTTTATCAAACATGATGTCCTTTTCCAGGGACTGGTCCTTCTTGATAGCAAGTCTAAGAATCCATCCTCGTCCCTGAGGAACCAGTGTCCCAGATTTGTTTGTGGATATTCAACACTCTTTGATGCTACAATTCAAGGTATCAGTACATTTTTCCTTACTCCTTTCACAGGCATAGGAAGTAACTCACAACAACATCATCATCCCCAAAGGGCATCTTGCTCTTTAACACTTTAAGAGACATCTTCTGTAGCAGATTTGCTCGATGGGTAAGACCTTGGATTTCTTGACTGCTGCTTCCACGGGCTTTGATTCCGGATCCAAGTTAAAGGAAATCACTGACAACGCCAATCTTTTCTCCACTTATCTTGACGTTGCCCACTGGTTCAGCTGTGAGCATTTTTGTTTATGTTGAGGTATAATCCATATTGAAGGCTATAGACTCTGATCTTCAGCAATAAGTATTTCACGTTCCCTTCACAATCAGCAATGCCAGGTCATCTGTATAACACAGATTGTTGATGAGACTTTCTCCACTCCTGATGTTGTGTTCACACGTGTGTGTCTGTGTGATTTTAACAAAAATTTACAGAAAACTTGGATTTCCATTCATTCATTGTTGCACATTTCCCCCGCCCCAGTCCACGTTACTATGCACCTCTTATTCAGGACTGTGGTCATGCAAACAATGCCTAATCATATATTCCTTTTAAACAGTTCTTTCCTTCGTCTGTTCCAATGCAGTGTTCATTATTTATCCCCTCTTTCCTTAGTCTCCCCCGTAGCTCCCATGTCAGTACTGTTTTATAACAGTGGCCCTATGCAATATTTGTCCTTTTGTGGCCGAGATATTTCACTCAGCGTAATGCCCTCCAGGGTCATCCATTCATTCTGTATACTATTTTATGAGACTTTGTTTTTCAGTGTTGCATAGTATTCCATTGTGTGAATATACCATAGTTTCTCTCTCCATTTGTTGATGGCACTTGGGTTACTTCCTTCTCTTTGCTATTGTGAATAACACAACAATAAACATAGGTGTTCATGTGCTGCACTCTTTGTCATGTAGCCCAGATTCTCAAATTATTTGTTCAACATGGAGACTAGAAAAAATAAAATGAAAGAACTGAAAGGGGAAAAAAATTCAAGCCTTGAGCTGGAATACGGAGCATTCTATGGGTGACATATTAA